CTATTGTTAGTATTACAACTGAAATGTACTCAATTACTGTTTGGTTAATACAGATAATGGAAAATGAAGGGGAATTTTTGGATTTGAAGCTGGTCAGAGACAGATATGCCTACAGTATGGAAGCAACTTGTCCAAAAGGTGGGTAACAAGGACAGAATTGGAGCTGGAAGTTAGTGAGTGTTTGAGTTTAATTAGAGCAGGGGTGTCAAACACAAGGCCTGGGGGCCAGAAGCAGCCTGGCACAGACTCCAGTCGAGCCCACTGGGTGGCTTTGGAAAATGTAAAAGAGGGCATAAATGTTGGACTTTTAACAGTATTTTCATCTGTTTTACAGCTTTTACAGTTCAACAGCTACAATTTTCCACTATCTATTATAGAAATATAGTATGTTTTTTTGCAATTTAAGAAGAAGGTTAATATTCTGTAAAATAACAAAAACTTGTCACTGTGCTGACCTTTACATCAGTAAAAATCACTTGGGCTATTTTTTGTTTAATGTTGATAAAAAACATGTGGGGTGTCGGGACATTTGCTCTTTTTCTGTCTTCTAAAGAGAACGGATCGGTTATAAAAAATGTTAAAAATACTTAAATGTAAAAGTCCTGAATCCAAAGCCAAAATATTCTTAACTCCAAAGTATTCACAATAGTTCTGTATGTGGTCATAGTTTGAACTAAAGCTACAAAGTTTCAGCTTGGTCCAGTTGATTCAAGGTCCAAAGGTTCACAAGTTAAATCTGTGGGTATCATCAGATGACCGATGAAAATGAAATAATAGTTTTGAAAGTGGCGCACTTTTTGTAAATTTGCCTCTGTACACAACACAGTCGATTTTAAATTAAACCCCCACGATGTAACTGAAGCACAGACCTCCAGCTTAAATTAAAGGGGTTCATCTAAAATATTGCACTGTTTAGGAATTACAACAATTTTTTATATAAAGTCTTCAACATATACAAATGTTCAACATTAACTGAACAAAGTAACATGATTTTAAACACAAGGATTGTTGCAGTCAATGACTGGGTAAAATCTAGAGCCCATGGAGCTCTCTAAGTGCTGTGTTTCCTCCATTGAGAAGCTAGGCCAGGTCTTCACTGCAGCCGCCTTCAGTTGCTGCTTGTTTGTGGGTCTTTCTGCCTTCAGTTTTGTATTTCTTAACTAAAAAACATGCTGCGTTGGGTTGAGATCAGGTGACTGACTTGACTATTGAAGAATATCAGATTTCTTTCCATTGAGAAACTCTTGGGTTACTTTGTATCACTTTAAATCCACAGTTCATCCTCATACTTCTATCAGGAGTCACATCATCAGAAAATACTCGTGATTCAGTGTCCGTGGCAGTCATACACATCCATACCAAAACACTGCCTCGACCTGTTACCTCTGATTCTGCATAATGTTCCTATTCTCATCATTCCCGTACAGGTTTACCAGAATGATGAGAATAGGAACAGTATGAGAAGTTTACCAAACCTTGATTTTACCAGAACCATGCAGGCTTTTTTTTTTAGATGTTTTCTGACAAAGTCTAATCCAGACTTCTTCTTGAGGTTAACCAGTGGTTTGCACCTTGTTGTAAATCCTCTCTATTTACATTAATGACGGTTCCTCTTGATTGTGGACTTTAACAATGACAAGCTTACCTCTTTGAGACTCATTCCTGAGTTCATTAGATGTAATGAAGCTGCTTTTCTTTGGACAATGTAAATGTAATGCACTTCTGTGGTCAACCACTTTAGTTGTCAGGCTCTTTGAACAATAAGGAAATAGGCCACGAAACGCTTTACCAGTCCACTGTCCCATAACGTTTGAGCATCTGAAAGTAGGAGACTGTATATAACAATGGCTGATTTCCAAAACATATTGTGCAATATTTTTGTTAAACCATTTGAAAGTTTGCACTTTACCCACATGATGATTGTTTGGTTTATAATCCGCTGTGACGGTGCAGAGAAGCAAAATTTAAAAAACATTTATGATTGTCCAAAAATGTATCAACCTCATCGTATATCTCATTATATATATATATGTTAAATAAATACAGAGCAAATGTGCAAATGTAATCAAATAGAAATTGGCAACAAGTGAAAATACTTATAAACAGATACATCAAATATAATTAATTGTTACTAACTAACCACATTAACACATCTTATTTTATTTTAGTGAACGCATCCACGGCAGACAAGACTGTGCTGCACATCCTCAAACGCCGAATGGGTTTGACCAGAAGAGGCACCTATCACAATGAAGCACTGACACTCAGTGACCTGTCAGTTATCCAGACAGTTACTTTCACAGTGCATGAGACGAGTGAATTTGTAACTCTGTCCATTCCCACAGCCCAAATACTCCAGACAAAGGTTAGTGCTGAAACACAAACCTGTATGACTCCAAATCACGGTGGTAGTGCATGGCTGTCAAAGCATACACTGACATGAGTAAACTGTGTGGCTTTGACGATTCATTAAAGAGTAACACATCTAACCCAGGTTTATTTTACAGCCCTGCACAGATGACAACCGGCTCCTGCAGCCGTTCTACAGGGTGGATGCTGTGCTCACCTTCAGAGAGACAAATCACAAAATGCACTGGACCATGGAGAGCACGCTGCCATGCATAGGTGAGTTTTCTGCTGATGAGCACAGTAAAAACTAAAGAGGTGATCAATTATTGGATGTTTTCTTGACCATGGCATTTAATGTAGTCACACCAGGCACTTCTTGTTTGTTGCTCAGCCAGACGCTTAATGTTTCAATCCTGTTAATGAAAACACTCCAATATACACACATCAGACACTTTATTAGGTACACAGTGTCTGTACAGGGTTGGATCCTCTTTTGGATGCCAGTCTAGGTTCATCTCTGATCCATGGCCCTATGCTCTCTCTTCACATTTCCCACTCTTCATTGCACCCCTCCAAAAGAATGTTTAAAAAATTAAATAAAAATAATATCACATAGGAATAATCAGTCATATCAATATCAATAGCACTCATTTTAAAATCCTTCCTTGAACAATTATTTTCAGTGTAACAATTTCTAGATATATCACAGTGTGTTTGCACATTTTCAGCATATGAGTGTTAAAAATGTTTCAAACACCAAGAAAAACTACTCACCCATCACCACGTCATCTTTCGAGCCACCGAAGTCTAAAGTCCTGGCTGTATATTCATCCTGCTCTCTTCTCTCCTTCTTCTTTTAAGGACCACTTTTTTCCTTTGGCTCACTAAATATAATTTAAAATGCCGCTGCACTGATTTACTACTGTATAAGACACCTGCAGAAAATCAAATGGATAAATATTTAACATCAACAGCTTTTGTGCACATTTTCCACAAATAACAGGGAGCAAGGTCAGGAAGTACAAGTCATATATTTGCTAGCATACGCCTCTGCTATCAGAACCCTTCAGAAAAGATGCCTCTTTGAATCAGTGGAGAGTAAAAATGATTGCGTAAATATTTGCAGCTAAAATGCAGTTCATGAGGAAACTACATGCTGCATGCATACAGTTAGGCTTTGGGTCACAAGCTAGAACCAGGACTTGAACTTACAGTGTGACTTATAATCTGTCCACTTTAATGTTATGGTGTCACTGATTCTGTGTAATATAAATTGAGGGATGTGCTCGATTGATATCGGTGTTAACTGAGCTTCTCCTGCTTTCTGGTTCTGGGGCATTTTTTTGGCTGCCGTGTTGAAAGTTTTGCCTTCGTAGCCACAGTTACCTGTTCTTAGCTGATAGGAGTGGCACTTCCTGTAGTTTTCTACTGCTGTAGCCCGTCTGCCTCAAGGTTTGAGGTGTTATGTGTTCAGAAGTGCTTTTCTGCATACCTAGGTTACAACCAACTGTTATTTGTCCATTCTGTCCATTCTTCTCTCTTTTTTGGACCATTCTGTGTATGATCGTTTGTGGGGACATCCCAGCAGATCAGCTGTTTCTAAAATACTCAGACCAGCCCAGCTTGCATGAACAACTTCGCCACGTTCAAAGTCACTTAAATCACATTCGTCCCCATTCTAATGATTTGGTTTGAACCTAATCAGGTCACACTAAAGATGGCTACACAGCTACATTCACTGGCTGATTAGATATTTGCTTTAACAAGCAGGTGTACTTAACAAAGTGCCTGGAGTGTATAGGGACACAACATGCTTCTGAAATTGGATCCAAGATATATATATATTTTTTTCAAAATATGTCGTAACAATGCAATAAAGAGATCTTAACTGGATGATTGGATGCATCCCTGTGGACAGTTATTGTGAGCCTGCAGTTCCACTTCTTATAGTGTTTTGTTAATATGAAAATGTTAAAACATGGGAAATAAAGATCCTTAATAGATATATTTTAAGATCTCTAAAATAGTTTTGTGTCAGTTAAACTACTGCTGAGAATGTAGAAATAATTGTTTTAAAAAATGTGGCTTCAAATTTTCACATCACACTCGTGTAAATTCATTATTAAACCTGTGTTTGCTGCATTGTCACAAATCATGTTTTTTCACAATCCCTGTAAGCCAGCATTCTCTGCACCAGTTATTAAATTGTGGAATAGCAGGCATTGTTTTTGTTTAATCTCACCTTTGTTGAAATCACCATTATCTCCACAGCTGCACCTAAAAACACATCATCACATGTCACATCTTCTCCTGGCCCAAACAGCATAAGCCCGTCCACACTCGACTCTACACGTGAGACTGTAACTACGGACGAGCCTTTGCCCGACCTCGTCACCATCCCAGAAGAAAACCTAAAAGAGAGAGATTCGTTCAAGCCTGCAAAGTTTCTCACAATTAACCTTCCTCACATGCTGAGAGAGGGCCGCAGTTTTAATATCCACGCTGACGAGATAATAAGGGATGATGTGTCTTCTTCAGTGTTGGATAATGGCACCGGTATCGACATTAACGTGAATACCACTAGTTTATTTGATTTTCTACATGCAGCTACAAATGTTTCAGTAGAGTCAGACTTGCTTACGTCAGCAGCCACAGCCCAGACACCACATATGTCTCTTACCACGCTGGCTCAGCCTGATGAAGAGTACCAGGAGCTCAACACAACCAGTAGGAATGAACAACAGCAAAAGGCGAAAAAACTGCAGTGGATTTGGTAGGATTAGATTTATTTATTTAGTTAAGTCAAATTATTCTTCAAGTAATATATCTTAATTACTTTAAGGCCTATTTTACTCCTTTTCCTTTTAAACCCAACTGGTACCACATACATCTGTTTGCAGTCATGAAAGGTGACGCAGTGGTCAGTGAAGGC